CCCCCCCCCCACCCCGCAAGCTCTTGTGCCACCAGGGAGGATCAAACCCAAATTGTTTAAACAACATCAGAGGCAGTGAAGATACCTCTAGGCCAGCCGGAATGCAGATAACGTGCAATTATACCAGATCCTATCCACGGATTTGTCAGATTAGCAAAGTCTGAGAAGTGCTTGTTACCTTCTCCTTAATTGAGAACAAAAATGAGGCTTTGGAATGACTGGAATTAGAGAAATGCAAAGAATCCACCCTTTGTTTTAAGAAGCAGGCATGGCTTTTAGAAGCAGCGAGCAAACTGCAACCAGGAGCAGTACAGCTTAAAATCCAGCCTTGGGAAATTTAATTGTATGCAGATGAACCTTCTTCTATAGCTAGTAATAGCCTCCGATAATAGCTATGGTTCTCATCCCTGAAACCAGTTATAAGTCACCTTGCATTAGCCAAACATAATGTAGCACAAGACAGCTCCATAGCAGATGGTATATCTTTTTTTTAAAAAAAAATCTCCCCCCCCCTTTTGATTTTTGCAATAAAGACATAAGGAACATCTGTTCTCCTTTTTCTGACAGAGCTTTTATTTACTGTCTAAATTCAGGAGAGACCCATCAACTCCTGTTTCTCACCTCAAATGCCCTCTTTCAGGGTCTACATTTCTAAATTTCCTTTAAAAAATAGCCTAGAGAACTTTTGTCAACAATGAACTTGGCCCGTATCCCGTCACAAGTCCCATCGTAGCCAGAAATCCTAAGAGAATTGCAATTTTGGATAGCACGGAGGATATTTTTTTGCAAACTGCTTTCCAGTATATCTTTCTTAATTTAGACCTGCCCTCCGCCCTGTGCCAACAGCACTGCCCTGAAAAATTCAAGCAAATACTTGTATCTGAGTTCTCTGGTGGACAAACAGTAACTTATTCCTATGTGTATGTGATTCCCCTAAGAAAAATGAAGAGTGTCTGAAGTGGGGAGTGGGCCACTTGAGGCTCACTAGTTCTTTGAGTGTCATCTCCAGTCGGTCTTAGCAACATGGTCAATATTGATGGATCCTGGAAATTGTAAACAAGGGCAAAAATCAATGGATGGGCCTCTCACGATCCCAACCTCAGACAAGATTAGTCTTCACGTCTGGCTTGATTCTTGGCTGGACTCACTTTTGTCTCCCAGCTGTTATGCAAGTCATTTTTCACTCTGCTTAACAACTAATTCCTACAACACTGTCGAAATACTAGTTAAGCTGTATTACTAATATACTCCTCGTCTTTCCTATTGTTGTTGTTAGTTGCAAAGTCATGTCCAACCCATCGCGACCCCATGGACTTTCCTATTGCCTATCCTTATCTTCTTATGACTATAACTTGCTGCTTGTATCTTACAATTTATATTGGTTTTTTTGTTTTGTACCCTAGTATGATTTGTGTTGTTTGCTTAGCTAGTACTTTTTGACTATCTCTAAGTGTTGCGTCTTATGATTTATGATGAAGTGTTGTATTTCACGATTTACGATGAAGTGTTGTATTTCATGATTTATGATGAATGTATTTCATGTTGTATATGATCATGATTACCACTATTACTTGTATGTACATTGAGAGCTTATGCACTGGAAACAAATTCCTTGTATGTCCAACCACACTTGGCCAATAAAGAATTCTATTCTATTCTATTCTATTCTATTCTATTCTATTCTATTCTATTCTGCTCGATCCATGTCTCAGTTCTTGCTTCTCCTTTCCTTCCTTTCTACCTTCTCCTTATCTCTCCAACCAGAAACTGTCTGAATTGGATGCTTCCACTTACAATGTCGCATTGGGATATGGTCCCTTGTGCCATTTGGAGACACCATTTTTCACTATGGCTAGACACGGCAGGACGCTTAGGAGCTGAAGAATAAATTGCACAGTACATCTGAGCTTCCAGAGATAAAAATGGCTAAGTAGTTTAGAAGAAACAACAAAGGTGGCATCACTGTTGTCCTTTAGCAGCTGCTGTTATAGAGGCACAGTAGCTTTAGTCTGCCTAACAGTAGCGGGGAACACCTGAGATGACATATACCAGGACAAGAAGAAAATACACTGTTTTAGGCAGGGCTGTTGTTGAACCCTCTGCACATCCTTTCTGGGCTATCTGTTCTAGAGAGTTGAGAACACCATGAATTGCCCATGCGATGAAACAAATGCTTTGGACAGTCGATTTGAAGGACAACAAATGGACATTTGATTCTGCCATCCATCTTGGCCTGTCAATTAATAGAACATATAATTCATGGCCCTGATCATGCTCGTCTTAAGTTTAGCTTGAACCTTTTCCTTCCTGGATAGGACCTAGAACAGAGTGTCCAGCCTTGATAACTTTTAAGACTTGTGGCCTTCAAATCCCAGATTTCCTTCTGAGACTTGAAGTCCACAGGCCTTAAAAGTTGCCAAGGTTGGACAGCCCTGTTCTAGAAGAAGGCTTTAAGAGGAAAAGGGATTTACAAGATCTCACCGTAGAGGAGCTATTACTGTTACGTCTTGAGAGAGATACACACCTCACCATTTAAAGAGGTTGCTCCA